CTCAGATGGGAAGACCCACTGATGGTATAACAAGTTTTGGCTAGTTCTGGGAATTAGTTATGTGTTAGTAATCCATAAAGTAGCTAAACAAGCAATCCTCTAAAAATGCAGTCGTGGTTAGACTGCAGCAGAGTGCAAAGCACTCAGCATATTTACAACAGTGAGAAGACCAACACTGGAACACTGGACACATTTCAGATATTTGTGTGTTAGAATACACTGGTAAGTGGGCAGAGTACAGAGAAATCTCAAGGCTGGAAGAAATGCCTTAAAATGGAAGACCTGAAGAGGTCAATTTCTTTTGTTCATTAAAAAGTCTAATTATAGTCTATAAGTATCTTTATATACAGAAAGTACTGGGCAAGTAGAGACTCTGTGATATGTCAGAGAGAAGTGTAATAAGATTTCTTTGGTAACGTACCAGTAAATTCATAGCTGAACTGAAGTGTGTTTTTTTTAGAATAAGGATCACAATTATCAGTACAAAAAGCTTCCAAGAAAAATAGCAGGTTGTCCATGTACTCAAGAGTCAGATGCCTTTCTGGAAAGCAGGTTGGCCAAATACAGCTCACGCTATAATCAGGTATAAACAGTTGGGCTAAAAATCATGTAATGGAAAGGCATTTAATGGCCTGTCATACAAACATAAGACTAGATGAGATGACCTCATGGTCCCCTGGTCCTTTAAGCCCAATGAATATACGAAAAATATCAGTAATGAAAACCAGACAGTCATCTTGAAGGTAAAATCTATGAAAAACAAACATCATACTTGGCAAGGGTGCTACAAAACATAATTCAATGATGCGGACAATTGTATTGACAGAAATCCAAATACCTGGTTGAATGTGGATAAGAAAACAGTATAAGAAATCACAAGGAAAAGCATTTCTATCATTTTTTCTTTTTGTCTTTTTTTCTTTTCTTTTTTTTTTTTATTTCATGGTGAAGAAGTTTTGAAGTGCAAATTTCAAAGAATAGTACTTTCATTAATTTTTAAATCTTTCTGTTTGCACTGGTCAGCATGGGCTTAGTTCTGGAACTACCTGCTTTTCAGAACTCAGGCACTTGCACAGATCTCCTGATTTCCAGTAGTGTTTGCTAAGATTGCTGTCTTCAGCACAAGAGGTAACAGTTAAGAGTGAAGCTGAAACTATGGTATCTTGGCTACTTACTGTTAGCAGTAATTAAATCCAATTTACTGCCTTAGTGCTCTAGTCTTTCATTGATCTTGAATATTAAAGAGTTAAAAATTCTTCCCAGTATTACACTGGATAGGAGACAGTAAAAGTGGCAATGTTTGTTTTAGTAACAGAAGCCTCTGTAAAAGCCAGTAAGAAAAGACAGCATGGGTAAGAACAGGGTATGTCTGTTTATTTGGAGTGACAGACACTATTTTTAAAATGAAAACACGTTATATAGGAATAAGAAGCAAATGTGTAACTATAAATTAACATGTCGTAATTCTTTCTTTATAAGACTTCGGTCTACTTATATTAGGTCATTAGCAATTTTCCAAAACATATGTGATTTTGAACATGAACAACAAAATCCAGAAGAGATTCTGCCCTATGCTGAGGAGCAGTGAGCATCCTGCTTTCTTCCGTTGGGTGCAGCAGGGCCTCTTCTCAAAACAAGGGCAAAATGGGCCACTGTTCCAATGTCTCACACAGAGTAAGATAAAGAGCCAACAAATATAACTGTACACCATAGTGTCTGGACATATTTAACAGCAGTAGATGGTAAGAGTCAGTGTGTTTTCTCAGTTATTTTTCAACAAACCATTTTTCTTTGCTATGACTCAAAGAAAGCAGGCAAGCTTGGTCCAAAGACTGAGATTTATTATATTCGGTTCGTGGTCAAAATGTGAGGTTTATTTATTTTGAGATAATCCTAGATTTGAGAGCACTTGAAAAATTAATATCAAACAAGTTTGGGTTTTTTTAGGAATAGCTTGTAACTTTCATATTTGTAGCACATGTTGTTATAACAACCACTTTGAGTCAAAAGCCAGGTGATCATGCCTTTGGAAAAGAGAAAACAAAAACTTCCTTACCTCAATTCTTGCTCCAGTTTGCACCCTTTTTGGAACAAACTCTGACTTGAAAACCATATGCATTATTCATTTTTCAATACAGCTATAAGTGGTTTCTTGTCTTGACTCCCGTAATCTCTTGCATTGTTTTTGCTTGTTGGAATTTTTCTGTCTCTACTTTTCTTTTTTCCCCTCATCTACATAGGTATTTTAAATTGGTGAACTCATACCTGATTTTCCTCTCTGAAAAGAGATACTGCAAAGAAAATATATTCCGGAATTTCGGAATGTGAAAGATTTTCAGCTTGTTCTTCCTTAGTGGACTATAGCCATAGGGAAACCATGTTGAGTAGTGTAAATTTGTGGTCTCACAGCTACATCTAGCATAGCTTAGATTGGAGTTACTCTTTTTCCCTTGGTGTTTACTCACAGGGGAGTGAATCCAGTATGTAATCATGATTCCCTGTTAATTCTGAAATATGAAATAATTACAAAAATTCAGTTAATTTGTTTAGTAAATTAAAAGTCAGAAGGTATTTGCATATTCCTTGTATGTGCTTTATTCTGTAGCTCAAGCTTGGTTAAGTGTTCACACGGCAGTGTAACACACCAGAATCACCTCATCCTTAGAAGCAGTTGTCAGAAAAATATGGGCCTGCCTGGTAGAATGTATTAGCCCAATACATTGTCTCCATTTTATTATGAAGCTGCTGAGGAAGCTGTGATATACAGCACTGTCATTACAGATCTATTGTTAGAAGGGTTCTACAGTCTTCTGTGCGCTGCCATTAATTTATAGCAGTAAACAATATGTAGCCCTCCAACTGCAGCAAAGCAGAATCTTTTAATGAGGTGGATGTTATTACCACAATAAATCAGTGCATTCGTGTAATGTATAATTCAATGTGTGTATTCCCACTGTAACTTCTCTGAGTAAGCTGATAGTGTATCATTGTCAGTGCACAGCTCCATGGTTCTTTTTTTTTTTTTTTCCCCTAAGCTTTCTTTCATTTGGGGACTTTTTTTATTTGCTTGCAAATAAATGTGACATGTCTTGATAGTTGCCCTGTTGCAGGCTTCAGAAACCAACTGTAACAATAACAGCCAAAATCAATACTGTGGATTCTGGCTATATGGATCTCTGCATGATACCCCCTTCTTTTTTTGAAAAGAGAATGAAATCAATTCTAATTGGGTTTAGCTTTATATTCAAGGAATGTAATTCTATAACTATTGATTTGGGCTATACTCATTTGGAGAGCAATAAAAATAGGAGCAGATAAAGAGAATACATACAATGTTGCAGAACCATACAGCACAACACTGTTTCTATTTTTAATTTATATAATTTGTCTACCAATGACCTTCCTTCTTCTTTTTTCCCTCAAGCATAGCTGAGTCTTCAGGGAAAATCAGTACAGATGGAGATTCCAAAATGGTTCTTGCAACAAAGAGACTTCTTAGAGTCAGTTTCATTCTTCCCTGGAATAAATTTGCTAAATCAGATAAAAATCCTTTTATATGGGAACCACTTCTTTTAAAGGGTTATATTTCAAATTAGGGGACTGCAAAAAATAGTAATTAACCTAAGATGTTTTCTTTATCCTACTGCAATGTGAAAGCTGCTCTAAGTAAAAAATGTAAGATTAGATCTTAGGTCATTCATAGATCTAATCTGTCCTTAGAAGAGAAAATACTTTGATGCTTGTATCCCAAATTTCACCTGAGCTGCAAAGAAGCAGTTATTTGAATCATAATTATCTGAATAGCAGACATAGTATTTTGCTTGCTTGAACTATACTTGAATTAATGACTGTGTTGCTGATACTTTTGTTAAAGGACTTTTCTTTTAAAGTTTTTCCTTACCTTGTAGTGTATACTTAAGTATATGTATTATTGCGCAACAGAAAGAAGAAAATATTTTTGCATGTTTATTCTTCAGTTATACTCAAATGCATCCATTGTCTGTGCAGATGGACATCATTTACATTAATAACACACGAACAGTGTGCTCAATATGTATGCAAAATTGTATTGCATATATGTTTTGCATGTATATATGAAGATATTTTAGACTTCTTGCAACATTTTACATGTCAAATGGCTAAATTCACTTTTGAGTTTCTCAGTGATTTGTATGATGTATACTCGTTTTTCCAAATCCTTTATGTAAAAGTCTGCTGAAAAAATACATGGCTATAGATAACAAAATATTGTATTTCTTAGATTTAAATAAATCCCTAAGTGTTTATGTCCTAGGTAAGTGCGAAACAAAGAATAGCAATGTTGATGAAAGTGTGACAGACTTTTTAGTCCTACATACGTTATTTGTTTCTTTTATATCAGTGTTTTCATATAGAAATTCTGCTGTTGTATTTGTCTGTTTCAAAGTTTCAAGTTTTATCCATTAAGTAAAATTTGTCTTGGGATGGTAAATAGAAAGCATAGAAACAAGAATAGTGCTATGAAATTTCCAAATTCAAATTTTTCAGCACTGTCGACGTTCTTCCATCCTACCGGTCACTATTTTTTTCCCCAAAAACTATCCAAAGATGTTTCCAGTTGTTGCTTACCATTTGCTTAATAGTGTATTCAACACGCACGCATATCCACAGGGACACAAGTTAACAACCAAGTTATCAACTCTTTGTCCAAGACATTCCACTGTGAAGCGGTTTCTGTCATTGACTTGAATCAACAGTGAAGAGAAATTAAGCCTAGATGAATGCAGAAGAGACTTTTTTTCCAACCAGCTGCCTGTGTGTGCGTGGAATCCTGGTTTGAAACGCACAGATCTATTCAGGTGCTTACAGAATGCAGCATCTGCTTTTGCAAAACACCAAACCCAGTCTTCTCCATGCATGCTGATAATTCTGGTTACCAAAAATAGCAAGGAGAGTATGATGTGGCACTAGGTCAAGTCATCTTTATTTACTTACTGTATTTATTTTTACAAACCTTGTAGCCTATTGGAGCTTTGAACCCAAAGAGAGCAGCGTTCTTTGCCGAGAGATATGAATCGTGGGAAGATGATCAGGTTCCAAAATTTCACTATGGGACACATTATTCAACTGCAAGTTTTGCACTCGCATGGTTATTAAGAATTGTAAGTATATCTTTTAAAAATGCTTTTCCTTTAAATGGTAATGAAAGCAACAAATAGCTAGGAATGAATAAACTAAAGCTCAAGGGCATAGGAAAGTACTGAAATTTTCTAGTAATTGTTACAGTAGCGTAGGATAAATGTATTGCAAAGTTTAAGCAAAAGGTTTTAATTTTTATGGTACAGCCTTTTCAAATCAGTAAAGGTTTTTATCCTTAAAAATTGCTTTTTAATGTACATTCTTATAGTATTTAAACGTGGTTAACTTTCCTTCCTTGCATGTTTTCTGAGTGGACCATGCACTGAATATTTGTGGTTCTTACTGAATGTATTTAATTTTCACCTCCTAGTGAATGTAAATGAGTTGCTTTTGTTGACATTCTATGATGTTAATAATCATAGAATAATAATTATAAAAATAATTTAAAAATCTGCGACAATTTATATGGAAGTACCTTTTGAGATGCTACATATTGATAATATAATGGTTAAACAATGCATTTTTCTATAAAGTTGAAAGACGATTTATCTCCTAGAAAGTAATTTCTTTGGGAAAGCATTAGCAGCACATCATTAATTAAAGCTTGTTAGAATGTACAAGCATACATAAATCCTTGAAGTAATTTATAGCACTTAGCTAATTTCAAGCAATTATCCACTAATATGTGCTTAAGTGTTCTTTAAGTAAGAGGAGGCTTTTAAATCTTTCAAACATTTTTCTTTTCTAAATCATAAATTACATATTAGACAATAACAATCATAAAGCTATCACTATTGAATGCTACCCTTTATATTAATAGATTACCTTGAACAAAATAAAATGCGTATGTTATTTTGTTACATGCTAGTTTAAAAAATATCTAAGGTAAAAATATTGAGCTTTTTCATGTTCTTGAGAACAATTTCTGTCACAACTGACTGTAGCTTCTTCTCCAGCCTGTAAATGTTTTCTTTTGTTTTTACTTGCTTTTCTTTACCTGAATATATATACATAGAGTAGAAATAAAAAGCATTTATTGAACACATAAGCATCAGTTTGTATTTCTCATTCTTGGATAATAGAGTTAACCCTTTGCAATTAATCATGTATCTGCCAGAGAAGTAGCATAATTAATAACCAAACCCCAAAAGAATAATAAATCTTTTTTTTCTCCTGAAATTCCTGAAGGAAATACGTTGCTGTTTTTAATTAATCTTTTTTAATATATTTAGGAACCCTTTACAACACTTTTCCTAAATCTACAAGGCGGAAAGTTTGATCATGCAGATAGAACTTTTTCATCCATTTCAAGAGCATGGCGCAATAGTCAGCGTGACACTTCTGATATCAAGGTAAAAACTTTCCTGAAAGGTGTTAACATATTTTATACTGCATCTGCCTTTATTGTAGCTGCAATCGTAGGACCACAGGTTATGAAAAAAGGAAGGAAGAAGATTGGGAGCTACCCTACCATTTGGGAAAAGGTGCAAGGGGATGACACACGGTTTTACTTCTGTTAGAATTTTTCAGTGAATTCCTTTGTAAAATTTTAGCAAACATTTTCCAGTCCTGCAACTGAAATAAGGCAAAATTAGCAATTGTGCTACACATAAGTGTTGCACTGTCTTTTTGTTCCTCTGCACAAGGGTGAAGCCTTTGAAAAGTCAGTTGAAATTGGTACAGAGTTTTAACCACTAAGTTTCATAAATACTCTGCGCGTGCTTCTGTCCCGCTCAGATAAGAATGTTACAGTAAATATTCATATTACTTTATGTAATTTTGACTCTAGGCATCCAGCCTCATTTTTGGGCGATTTCTGCAGTGGCCTAGTTCCTTGTTTGGCTGTGACAAACAGGAGGAGGAGGTCAGACTAATCCAGGTGCAGAAGGGGCAAAATCTAGTCTTGTGATGAGGAATAAGTGGATAGTGGATAAAGAGTTGAGAGGGAGATCTGGAAGCAGTCTCCAGAAAGACTGTATGCTGGGTACAGAAACAAAGGGCTAGAGAAAGCCAGTGTTTGAAGATACTAAGATGAAACATAGAATTCAGCATAATATTGAACCTGTCCTAATAGGGGCACTGGGCCTGGGAACTGGTGAGTGAACAAGTAGTAGGTGGGAATAGAAGATAAATTAAAGAGACCTAGAATTAAGTGGTCAAGAAGCTAAGGGAGACCTAGAATTAAGTGGTCAAGAAGCTAAGGTAGGAGCACATAGAAATTCCAAGGGCAGAGGTTTAGGTAGGTAGCCACTGAAGGAAGGAATGAGGTAAACAAATAGAGTCTAGGATCTGAGGAATGTTTTGAATTGGCAAGGAGAACAAAGAAGACAAGGATGCTGGCAATGGTGGGAAAGCTTTGTTGACCTGAACTCCAAGAAGGAGAGTCCTGGTTTTAGCTGGGACAGAGTTAGTTTTTTTTTTTAGTAGCTAGAAGAGGTCTGTGTTTTGGATTTACTCTGGGATTTGTTCTGAGAATGTTGATAGGGCTCTGATGTTTATAGTCGGTACGGAGACATCAAGGACCTTTCAAGCTTGCTGCATTTTTGCTGGTGTACAGGAGTATAACAGGCTGTGGGAGAGCATGGCCGGGACAAAAGGCCCATGACTCTCCTTCTGATTTGAATTTGGGTTTAGGATTGAGGGTTAAATTGGCCAATGAAGTATTCCATGTCATGCAGTGTCATGCCTAGTGTGTAGATGAGGATTGACTGGGAAGAAGAGCTCTTGCTCTTCTGAGGGCTCTCTTGGACTCTTGGTCTCTTGGAGTGCTGTCTCTCTCGCTCTCTCTTCGGGCCTCTCGCTCACCCAGGATTGCAGTGTTGGGACATAGCTGTTTCGGAATCGTTTGCCGGGATGGGACAAGCATTGATCACCGGGTGGTGAGCGATTATGCTGTGCAACACTTGTTTGTGTATAGCATGATATATATATATAAAAATTATTTTATCATTATTACTTTAAATTTTATATTATTGTTATTATTAAATTATTATAATCTCAACCCATAAGTCTCCTTTTCCCTTTTTCCCTTTAATTCTCTTCCCTGTTCCCCGGGGGTGGCGGAGTGTGAGTGAGCAGCTGTGTGGCATTCAGTTGCCGGCTGGGTTAAACCAGAACAAGGAGGAATATCAGGATTTTTTTTTTTTAATGGAAGGAAGGATAGAATTGTATGGTGTGAAAAAAATCAGAGGCTAACTCAAGAATGTCATGCAACTAGCAAGAGACATAAGTAACATTAAATCTTTTTGTAACTATATTAATAGTGAGGAGACAAGGAACGGGTTGATCTGCAGATTAATGGAATGAGAAAATTGTCAACTGATAGGGCTGAAAAAGTAATATCTTTCTTGCATCTGTGAGTTCCCACCAAAACAATGTTGATCAGTGACTAGTGGAATTAATACCACTTATAAAAAGATACAATGTCTATATCAAATTGGGAAAGCACAGTTCAGAAAATACAAACACATTAGATCTTTTCAAGTTGACTGGTCATTGTGAGCTTCGTTCTCTTGCACCTATAAGACTGGCAGACAAAATTTCAGAGTGTGTGTATATATATATATTTTTTTTTTTTTGAGAAGTGGAGGAGGAGAAAGGTAGCAATAATGGACATATGAAGTATTTAGTTTTTAAAAAGGAAGAGAAAGAGGGCCAAGAAATTATGAGGTGAGTTTAACTACAATTTACAGAAAAATATTTATGCAAATAATCAGGCTATGTTTAAGTACCAGGAAGATAACAAGGAGACAATCAAAGGAAACACATGTTTATCAAGAAGAGATCATGTCAAAGCAGTCACAATTTCTGATGAGAAAAGGTAACAGACCTTATGAACAGAGAAGAAGCAGATGATAATCTTACTTTCTGACATTGTCTCAAGAGTGAGCTGGGAAAACTTGGTCTAAAAGAATCTGCTATATTTGGAGAATAGTTACCAGTGGTTCATTATTAAAACTGAAAGATGTATTGAGTGGAATTCTTCTTGATAATAACAGATTAGGCCTCAATTTCAGTTGATATTGGATTGGAAGATACTGGAAGTGTAGAGGAATTGAAAGCACTTCTTGCAGAAGGGAAAAATGGTTTGAGAAAAGTGTTAGGTGAAGTTTAATAGGGAAAAGTGAGAATTGCAATTTTCATGAGGATTCTCATGCAGTTAGGTAGTAATATAACACAAGGAACAATCTGCTGTGCAAAAAAAATACGTAGGGTTGTAGTACATCGCCAGTGCATGTGAATTAACAATATTGTGGTATAACAAAAGCTGAGTAATGTTTGTAGAAGAGAAGGCTCCGGGCAGAGCTTCTAGCAGCCTTCTAGTACTTAAAGGAGGCCTATAAGAAAGATGGGGACAAACTTTTCAGCAGAACCTGTTGCAATAGGACAAGGTTTAATGGTTTTAAACTAAAAGAAGGTAGATTTAGACTAGGTAAAAGGAAGAAATTTTTTACAATGAGGGTGGCGAAAGGCTGGAACAGGTTGCCCAGAGAGGCTGTAGATGCCCCATCCCTGGAAGGATTCAAAATCAGGTTGGACGGGGCTCTGAGCAGCCTGATCTAGTTGAAGATGTCCCTGCTCACTGGCAGGGTAGGAATGGACTAAATGACCTTTAAAGGTCCCTTCCAACCTGAACTATTCTATGCTGTATACATGCTTTTATGTATATATATTGTATATATATTGCTTTTTTGGGCTGAATATTACATATTTTTAAAGTTAAAAAGATCATCTTGTGTTAAGGTATTATTATTTTCATTGTGATCTATTCGAGGTTGAGCAATACGTAATGAAGAATGTCTTACTATATGATTTAATTACTAAACTATATATTTACAGATGTTATTTCTGGTGTGGATGAGTACTCTGACAAATAATTGGCTAAGTTCAAACTCCATTTGAAATATTAACCCATTTTTTAATTTCAACTTTTAATTTTTCTGATGTACTTCTTCCGAAGCAGCTGCCTCCTTCAAAGATTAATGTAATTCTAAGTGTGATGGGAAGGCTCCCACTTTTAAGTGCAAGTGGCCGTTTTAAAGACAAGGTAGAGCTTGGTTTTCATAAAATCATAGAATGGTTTGGGGTGGAAGGGACCTTGAAGATCGTCAGGTTATTCAAAGCCTCATCCAGCCTGGCCTTGAATGTTTCCAAGGATGGGGCATCCCAACTTCTCTGGGCAACCTGTTCCAGTGTTTCGCCACCCTCATTGTAAAAAATTTCTTTCTTATATCTAATCAAAATCTCTCCTCTTTCAGTTTGAATCCATTGCCCCTTGTCCTATCACTACATGCCCTTGCAAAAAGTCCCTCTCCAGCTTTCTTGTAGGCCCCCTTTAGGTACTGGAAGGCTGCTATAAGATCACCCCAGAGACTTCTCTTCTCCAGACTGAACAATCCCAAGTCTCTCAGCCTGTCTTCATATGTTCCATCCCTCTGATCATCTTTGTGGCCCTCCTCTGGACTCACTCCAAGAGCTCCATGTCCTTCTTATGTTGGAGACTCCAGAGCTGAATGCGGTGTTCCAGGTGGGGTCTCACAAGGGCAGAATTTTTGTTCAACAATAGGTTCACTCTGGGAGTAGTCTTATGAGCAAGAAAATTATTTTAGCTATAGATGTGGAGACCAAAAATTATTTCAGGTGAGTCACTAGTTAGTTAAGGACTTGAGACAGACTGAAAGACTTGAGGTGAAAACGTAGGTATAGATGGACAAGGAAGTGACTTTGCTGTAGCATCTGACTGTCCATACCATTCAATCCATGGCAAACACAGGGTAAAAAGCATTTATTTCTCAACAAGTGAAAGGGTTTTAAGCTTTGCCTTGCATTTCTGATGGGCTGAGAACATAAACATAGTCAACTGTTGTGACTGATTAAATAATATTAGGGTTTTTTTACCATAAGCTCGCTGGATTCCTGTTGATACTTCTACAACCGATGAAGACCTAGCAGTTTAATGCATTGATTTATAGAAATCCAAAGGATTTTGGAACCCACTCTTAAGACCTTAAAACTGTCAGACCAAAGTGAAATGGTATTGTATCTTGATGTATGGGGAGTAGGGAGCACAAAGGAAAAGGAAGGGTTTATTCCTATTCCAGCTGAAAACATTATGAATTTTTAGAACCATTGAGCTGATCACAGAAAGTGATTTCTCCTTGCTTCTCACGTGAAGAGAATGAATGTTGTTATTGATGCTTGCTGTTCTTAAGTTACTGTTAATCTCAGCTGAAGGCATCATATATTACAAGGAGGACTAACATGAGCGAGCTTCGGAAGCAACACTTGTTGGCTGGTATCACTTCAACAGAGAAAGCTGAAGCATATGTGTGATCACAGCCAGTCTTCGTCA